TTAATTCGTTGAGCAGAGGAACAACTTTACCTTTTACCTTTTAATACCTTCATAATACTATAGACCTACCTGTATTTAAATTTATTCATCCTCATTTCTATGTCATCTCATGGCCTATTTAATACTTTCTTTACATTACACTCAGTATGAATTAGTTATTTCAATCACTGTTCAACAACATCCAGCACTTTTTACGGTCACACTTAACACTTAAAATAATTTAATACTGTCTTTTGCTTTTTCGCGGCATTTTCCTTTTTACGGATATCCGTACGAAGCCTACGTAATATTAGCTTGTCACTTAATAAACTGTCCTCTTCACTCTCAAGATAGTCTAGTAAGGATTCCAAATGATTAAGCGCAGCACCATGTGATACTTTCTTACTGGCAACACTGTCCACCTCTTCCTCATTCTCACTTTCTTCCCGCTCTTCTGGCTGCACCCCCATTGAAGTTACGATTTCGTCACTGCTTAACATTTCGAAGCCCGGTTCACACGAGTCACAGTTAAACCACTCTCTTATATTTTCCTCGTTGACTTCTTCACCACCATGAACTTGGTTAGCCACTTTTGTCAATTTTATGGCTATCTCATTTTCACTGAATCCAGTGAATCCATGGATTTCGTCATCTTCATTAGTGATGAAAGGCATCAGTTTCTTCCATGAATTTTTCAATACAGATGGCTTTACTGTATCCCACGCTGTTGAAATCTCGTATATGGCATCTAATACTGAAAAGGACTTCCAGAAACACGTCAGATCATTGCCTTCATCGATGTACTTTTGTAGCAAATTTGATCTGTAGATTCTCTTCATACTTGAGATAACTCCTTGATCCATTGGTTGGATAAGTGCGGTAACATTAGCGGGAAAATATTTCACAAAAATATTTCCATCATCTGACCTCAGGAGACTTTCGTTAGGATGTGAGGGCGCATTGTCAATGAGGAGCACAGCTTTCTCAGGTAGGCCTTGGGATTTTAGATGGTCACGAACTTGAGGCACGAATTTAAAATCAAACCATTCTTTAAATATCGCTCTATTCATCCAAGCTACTTTCTGGTTAAAATAATGGATAGGCAGACTTGAAGCTACTGTTCCTTTAAAAGAGCGTGGTCTTTTCGCTTTGCCGATAACTACTGGTATTAGTTTGTGTGTTCCTGATGCATTAGAACAGCACAAGACTGTCAATCTCTCCTTACTGGATTTGTGACCTGGAGCCTGTCTTTCATTTTGAAATGCCAATGTTCTGGTTGGCAAGCATTTCCAATAAAGACCCGTTTCATCGGCATTATAGATTTGTTCTGGCAGCAGATTTTCACTTTTCACAAAACTATCAAAATTGGTGCAAAATTGATCTGATGCTGACAAGTCCCCTGACAATTTCTCACCTTGAATACTGATTTCTCGTATTCCATGACGCTGCTTGAAACGTGTTAGCCAACCGGAAGAAGCGTCAAAACTCCCTTCTAGTTCAAGTGCTTCGAAAAAATATTTAGCTTGTTTAGCACAAACTGGTCCTGTTATTGTTGTTCCCTGTGCCCTTAGTTGATTAAACCAGGTCAGCATCGCTTTGTCGAGATCATCGTATGTTGATTTCTTCATGGTTTTTCTCTTCTTCATTCCGCTTGAATTAGAAGACGAAGCAAAGGAAATTAACTCATTCTTTTGTTTTTTCAAATCACGAACAGTTTGTTCTCCAATACCGTATTGCATTGCTAATTGTTTAACTACAGCTCCTTTTTCCAGCTGATTGATAATTTCAAGTTTCTGTTGAATACTTAACACAACACGCTTCCTTTTAAACCCCGACATTTTGCTAACGCACTTGAAGATCTATATTAAGAAACTGATACTTACTTTCACAATGCACTCTCACACTGAGATGGTACCGTTAAATAACCTGGGGCGGTGTATTTGTCCTTGAAACTTTCCAAAAATTCTTGCATTCTTTCACCCCCACCCTAGAACATTGTGTTCGCATAACGGGACGAAATAATGCAGAGCTCGGTTCACACTAGTGCGAAAATAGTGTTAAACTCACCATGTGAAACAAAAGTGAATGAATATTAAACAACATATAAACTTAAAAAAAAAAGCCCCGGTTAAGCCGCAAACCGGTTAATCCGCCCCCGGATAATCGAGAGTTGACTGTATTTTACTCTATTGATGAATTTGTCGAGCATGTAAGTGGCTCAAAAGTTAAGAGTTAATAAATGATCTGTGTGCATGAATTATACATTGTTGAGACTTGCTTGTTGTAAGTGTAGTAGTATGTATGATGTCTGTTTTTGTCATGAATTTTAATATTTTATAATCGTAACTCTTTTAATGATATGGTCTGAGTGTGTGTGGAATGGCAAGACGTGAATTTGACTGTGGTTTTTCCACGACCCATGCGTGTTGTCCTGACAACTTGACTACCTGTGAGAGGCCTGATTATATATTTTATTGAACAAAGGACGAATGATGTGTAGTCATCATGAATTTGTAATATGTGACATGTTTTATATCCAGCCCTATGAGGAGATGACTGGATCCATGAAATGAAAATAAATGTAAATGTAAACACTATTGCAGAAACTTTGATGAAGCCATGTGCCGTGGAAATGGCCAAGCCGATGTATGGTAATGATGCGGAAGTAAAAACTGCACAGATCCCCTTATTAAACGGTACCATCCATCAACTGACCTAATACTTCCAGCTGCACTATGGCCCTGGGGTCAAGTCAGCTGATAACAGAAATGATTACCAGGAATCTCTGTGGGGTAAAGAGTGGCTGACGCCTAAGGCTAATGACCCCATTGCCATCTGTGAGTCTACAGTCTTGACATCTCACAACCATATGGGCCTCCATGGCCTGTTACAAGGATAGCTTTTTTTTTATTGCTAGTGGGGTGGGACTACAACCATATGGGCCTCCATGGACTGTTACAAGGACAGCTTTTTTTTTATTGCTAGTGGGGTGGGACTAAGTCCCTTGTACTGCAGCCACTTCTGGCCTATTGTCGCAGCCCCAGATGAGAGGTGAGGTTGATTGTTGAGAAATTGGTGGAATGAAGATTGGCATGGGAAACAGAAGTACTCAGGAAAACCTGCCCCAGCGCCACTTTGTCCATCATAAATCCCACTTGACCAGACGCGGGATCGAACCTGGGCCGCTGCGGTGGGAAGCCAGTGACCAACCGCTTGAGCTATGGCGCAGCCAAGGATAGCTTTACTACCTTACCTTATCATTCATGATCATATCAAGGACATGTCACAAGATATCCACAGACAAGTGCCGCAGCAGTTGAAGAGAAATGTGGCTAAGATCGGTCTGCAATTGAATGTATCAAATGATGTCTCAAACTACACTCAACTTCACTTTTGTATTCAGTAGGTGCATCACAATGAAATCAAAGATTTCTCTTTTATGAACCTATGGGAGAAACAAAGATAGCAGCAGATATTATGACTCTTGTGAACAAATTATATGATTATAATAGCTCCTCATGTGACCTTATGAAAGCTATTTGTACTGACAGTGCCACAGTCACATCGAGAAACATTCATGATCCATGGCTCTCTTCAAGATAATACATCCAAGTGTGAACCCTAGTCACTGCATTCTCTATCGACATGGTTTGTCACTGAAAACTCCTGCTTCTTATTTGAAACTTGTGCTGAACGCTGTCATTCAGGCTGTCAATTTAATATGAATGAGGATACTGAATCACCATGTGTTCCAGGCACTATGCAAAGAGGTTTGGTCTGAACACACCATACTTCTGCTTCCCACAGAACTGCAGTGGTTATTAAGAGGAAAAGTACTGACTAGGGGTTTTTACTTCATGATTTTGTGATGTTTCTGTGTAAATGGGGCCAATTCTGCTTCAGCATTTCACACATCCAAATCTCGTGGATTTCCTTGGCACATCTTGCAGACGTGATCAGAAATCTAGACTAACTTGACATTTCACTGCAGGGCACAGCAGAAACTATTTTGGAGGCCAAAGAGAAGTTTACTCCTTGGGAAAGATGAATGAAATCCCTATAAAAATTACAAATATGTCTTCTTTGGAAACACGGCAAGTCGGCTTCGCCTACTCACATTATATGAATTGCCTCAACACAAACTTTAAAAGTCAGCTTCCCACTGCTGCGCCTGGGTTAGATCCTGGGTGAGGTCATTAGTGTTTTTTTGAAGGGGGGTGGCAACTGCACTGGAGAACATTTTCTCAGAGTATTTCAGTTTCCAGCGCCAACTGTCTGTATCACCGACCCCATACGACCTTATGTACGCCCAGTGCCGCCCGATTCGTCAATCAACAAACGGAAGGGGGGGGGGAAACTATTTAATGTTAATGTTAATTTGACTCATTCCAACCAAACTCGAGAGTCTGATGTCGGTATCGTAAAACTAAACACCTGAGGCGTCTTGGGTGTAAATTCCTACTTTCGTTCCTGAAAAACAGACAAGTGAAAAATCTCGTGGCATTACAAAATAAATGCATAAAATCATTCAAAATTTACTTAACCTATTCAGTGCAATTTCCTTATCGTAAAAGACTTCAGACTTCTTGGGAGATGTAGCATATTTGTCCACGAGAAGCGTAACGTAATATTCAGTTACACATTTTTTACTTGCTTCTTCCTTCTTACTTGCCATGCTCGCCACAACGTGCAATTAAATACAGCAGCAAATTCCACGTGAAACCACCACTAACCCAACTACCACTATATAGTAACGATAGTAACAGGTAGTAATCACAATAACACGCATAATAACTAACAGTAACCAACAGTGACAAAGTCAATATCACTCATACCATGCCACATGAGCACTTAGCACTTCTCAACACAATTAATTAATACGGCGAGAGAAATGCTATTGGCTGCAAACGAAGATACTATGTTGTCACGGAAGTATTATGCTGCCATCTACGAGGGTCAGTTAAAAAGTTCCCGGAATGGTGGTGTAGCACTCTAATGGTAGGACATACGGCAACGCTTACCTAATCACCTTCAAAGCAGGATCCTTGCGCTCACAAACACTTGCTCCATTGATCCTGACGATCCTGACATTGTTGACAGCAGCTTCTTTTGGAATCTTCCGGAGCTCAGCCGTCGCATTCGATTTGATGTCCTCCATGGTTGCGAAACATGTCCCCTTGAGGCCCATTTTCAGAGTAGGGAACAGCCAAAAGTCACTCGGAGCGAGATCCGGAGAGTATGGTTGTTACGTGATGACAGGAATGTTTTTCTCCGCAAGGAATTACTGTACAACAAGTAATGTGTGGCTCGGTGCGTTATCGTGATGCAGAAACCACTGGGACAGTGCCACTTGTCGAGCAGCTTCCTCCTAACCGAATCGCCCAACCTCTGCAAAACTTGCACGTAGAAATGGCCAGTAACAGTACCAACTTCTTCCTCCTACTCCGCGATGGTTATTCTTCGATCACATGGAACCAGTTGTCGCCAACTTTTCCAATCATTTCTTCGGTTCTGAGCAAACTCTAACGTCTCCTGCCCATTCTTAAACCGGGAAAACCAGTCGTAAACTGCCGATTTCTTTATTGCAGTATCACCGTATACTTGCTGCAGGGCCTATTGCGTCTCTGAAGCAGATTTTCCCAATTTGCACATGAACTTAATGTTCGCACGCTGTTCGAACTGCGACATTGCGTCGAATGACCAACACTCACGTATAATTCAAACGGAACAGTAACGACACTGCACACTGAAATCTGTCCAGACCTGTTGCTCCTGCGAGCAGACATGCTGAGCTTCCCACCACAACAGCGTGTGCCCTATCTAATCGCTCGTTCTCCAGCTGCAGGGGAATTCCGGGAATTTTTTGAATGCCCTACGTATATTGAAACGAGTAAGTATATGCAGGATTAGATATCCGTAGATATGTTAGATATACGCATCTACAGACTACTACTCACTGGTAAGCAATTCAGTGCTTGAAATGAAACCACGTACAATTGTTATCATCTTGCATCCATCTCATATCCAATACCGGCCGTTCAGCGATAATAAAGTTTACCACTATAAGGAGATTTGCCTGAGGCGTAACATCATGATATCAAGTACATGGTTACCAACGTTTCGCAGAAATCTGCTGATTCCATCAGTAAATTTTCCAATGGGTTCCGAAAGATTCCTAATTTTAACGTGATCCAGTATGTGGAATACTATTGGTAAGTGATCTGAGTCCAAAATATCAGAGACGATGACATCTGAGACTCTGATATTTTGGTGAACCACAATGTCTAACACATCACCATTTCCCACAGGGGAATAATGAGTGGGGCACTGTGGTGCTGAGATTTCGAAATCACTCATATAAAATAAATCCGTAAGTTTCAAGCTTGAGGGGTTTGAAACTTTGCTATTCCAAAATGGGTTCCTAGCATTCAAATCACCTGCCAAAATAGACTTACGTCTGAAGCTTAAGAGCTCAGTAATGTCGGCATCACTCCGGGCTCTACCTGGAGATTTATAAACAGCTGCAAGCAGCATTTCGCTATTACAAATTGGTATGCAGACCCCTGTCGCTTCTACTGGAACAAAGGGTAGTAGGTCTACATGGTTATGGGGAATGCCTTTACTAACTGCAACGGCTGTTTCGCCTTTTCTGCCCGAGTGGCGGTCGACTCTATAAAAGTGGTAATTTGGAGTAAAGAACCTCTCGTGAGGTTTCAGACGTGTCTCTGAAAACAGGGCCACAACTACATATAGATATTGCACCTGTTTACTGAGCTCACAGCGCTGCCTCCCAGTGCCGTTCGCATTAAATGCTATGACTTTGAAGGGCCTACGAAGTCTAGTGGCCATTTTGTTTCATTAGGTTTAGAACAATTTTAGTAATGGCCATTATTTTTTCTTCTTCGGACACTGCACCACTGATCTCTGTCATAATTTGCAGTACTACAGTCACTACTGAAACGGCACCATTGAAATTCTTCCCCCTCTTTTTATTTCAGTATTTTATAAAGTAGACAATAAGAATTACGAAGAAACATAGGTTAAGACACAGTCAGAACAAGCAGATAGACCGAACTTGCGCGGACAAGGACATCTGTTAGTCCTTGCGTCCAAGCATCTGGTGTTGTTTTGGAAAAGGGCAGAAATGACACTTCAAGGAACCCCACTGAGTTGCTTTAGAAATTGAGAAGTTGACTTACAGCGGCAAGCCACTTTGAGAATTAGAGCAGTGACAGTCTCTGCCAGTCGTAAGTCAAAAGTGGGATTGCCAGGAGATCATTAGCGACCCCTCATAAGTTGCTTGGCTGTCAATTTCGCCGCTTGGGATTTTAGGCCGAAACTACTTCTAAAACAATCGGTCATTGGCCGGAACCAAAAATTAAGCCAACTCCGCTTATCTGAATCAGCCTATCAGGGAATTTAGGAGGAGGAGAGAAGAGGCGGATACAATTCAGTTAGGACCTCTGGCTCGGCAGAGAGTCCAGTTTAAGATTAAGAGTCTGCTACAAACTTTCGAACTTGGCGGAGGTAAACCCCACGATTATACTTGCGTGTTAAGCTAAATAATTTGAGCAAGTGCAACACCGGCTGCTTGGAAGCTGAAACTAGGCCTGATAGTGTGGATTTATACCTCCGACTGACTGTAAGAAAACAATAAAGTATTCCAGTGGTACAGTGCATTGTGTTGGTTAGAAGTGCTTCAGCCTCACTTGTCCGAGCATGACCCTTAGCCGACCTGAGGAGAGACTCATCGCCAGGAGCTAGTCAAACCCATCGCCAGCTTTCGCCCACTCACGCCTTCCCTCTTTTATAATGAATCGCAAACCGCACCTAGCTGTTTGCTGGCGCCCATAACATCAGGTTCTATCCTGAAATTCCAACCCCCGTAATTAGCAACAGAAGGAGGAAGCGGTGGAGCCAGAAGAAGCGGTGGAGCCTGGGCAAGCCGGAACCAGCCACGCCCCAACAACTTCAATGGAGGCAGCACCAGGTAGGGCAATCAAAGGGACGCCGAACGTAAGGCGAACAAGATGGACAGTAAGAAAGGTGGCAACTAACTTGTGGGCAAGAAGCCTCAAGGGAGGACGGTTAAAAAGTGGCGCCCAACGTGAGGCCCGACGTCTCAGCGAGGACGAGGGTACGAGGAGAGAAGCGCAACACAACGCACGGCGCCAGAGGAAACAACTCACGACAATTGGAACAAGAGTCAGGATGAACGGAACTGCATACTACTAGTTCTACTGCCCCGACAGTTCACACGAGGTACACCGAACGCAACTACAAGGCCAATTACGAAATTTTATAATGGCCAGCAGATCATTGAGGAGCCGTACTGTGGAGGCTCAAGAGGAGAATCAGGAGATAGCGCAGGGGAGCGAGACCCCGCAAACGCAAATTACCCCCCCTATAGCTTAGGCAGCGCGAGTGAGACTCCAGGACAAGACACAATGCGACCTCAAGAAGCAGAATTAGGGACGCAGAGCCAGGCCAACGGGGTGTCAGAAAAAAGTGATTCCAACCCACCAGCTTCTGTAGACCGTACAAACCAGCAAATGTTATTAGAGTTTTTCGCAAGTGTTACAGCAGATCTGAGTACCCACCGAGAGGATATTCAGGCGCAGTTCACTAGTGTCAAGGCTGATCTAAGTGCTAACCAAGAGAATTTGAGAGCTGAACTCCAGTCCAACCAAACCAAATTAGAACTGTTACAGGAAAGTGTTCGGTCAGATCTGAGTAGACACCGAGAAGATATTAACCTTTATTAGGGCAGATATGAACCAAGTTAGGTCTGACATACGAGCAGAAAATGAAAAGTTACTGCAAAGTTTCGAGGCTCAAACTCGGGAAATCAGGAAGGAATTAGATGGTAGGCTGGAATCCGAAGCCAGACGGGTCTCCCTGCTAGTTACGCAGGTGCAAACTGAAACAGCATCTGAATTTGCAGCAGTCAAGAGGTAGCTACAGAGCATAGGTAATGAGTTCGACTCTAGGTTAGAACAGTCCAATACAAGCACCCAATTGGTAGTTAATGAACTTGCAGATCAGATGCAGGAGCACAGGTCTGAAATGAGCAATCAGATGGTACGACAGAAAGAGAGCCTAGAAAATTTATCGCAGGCAACCACTCAGGAATTAGGAAGGCAATTTGATATGGTAAACGCAAAGGTTTTGGCGTTAGAGACTAAATTAAACGAAATGCCAGCCAGGCAAGCTTTAGCCACAGAGGCGCGAGTGGTAGTTCAGGACGCCGCATCTCTTTCCGCCGGACCAGCCAATGACCCTGCGACGGAACCCGAAGTGACTGAAGGAAGCGGTGGAATGGTCAGTGAAACAGTCAGCTGTACTCACCAGCCAGCCCCCTGCAATACATTGTCTAGTGATAGCAGCATGAATGGGTGTGTAGTGCATGCCAACCCAGAGAATGTATCCTTGTTGGGTTATGTAAGTAACTCAGAACCTCCATTACCCCTTTATGATAATGCAACAGAGACCAACCCCGTATTTCATCTTCGGAGGTTGGATGAATTGATTAACTTTCGCAATGTGCCGAAACCCCTTCTAAATACAAGACCACTCTTCCGACCG